TGTGGGCTCCTCTACACTTGCAGATAAAGGCACAATGGGATTTAATGTGTGATCCATACAATCACGCCTCCTGCTATGCTTCATGCACCCCCACAGCTAGGAGACTGCAGCTGCTAGACTCTCTGAGGTGCCGGGTGGGTGTGGGGGGGGGGAGGCTTCATGGACCGCCGTGGATGGCAGACTGTGGCTGCTCTGATCTCTGAGGCATTGGGGCAGCACCTTCATGCACCTCTGTGGATGGGAGATTGCAGATGCTGTGATCTCTGAGGCATGGGGGAGGAGGTGGGCTTCATGCACCCCCTATAGCTGAAGACTGCAGCAGCTCCAGTTTCCCAGCTGCAGGAATGTGTGGGAGCCCTGTGAGCTGAGAGCTCCCAGGTTCAGGGGTGCACATGGCCCCCCCAGTTGAAATCTCTGATCATCTGATGGGGCTTCCAGCCTCCCGTTCAATTAATGACACAATAAGAGACAACTACAAAGTTATTCCAAAAAATATGCCACACGTTTATTTCTCTTTTTATCATGCAATTAATTGACTGACCATGTGGCCGGGTAGCCACTTAACCCATGATTAAATGGCATGACCACTTAAGCCGGAGGAGCCACTTAAGCTCTTGCAATCATTCACAGTGGTTGTAATTAAGTTACATTTCAGCTCTTCAAGTGCATGCACATGTATGTTACTGTATAGATATATAATAGTAATAATAACTACAATCAGTGCATATCAAAAGGCAACCTGCCAGTTTTCTTTTATACTGAAAAAATAATACTTGGCAATCTGTAATATTCCTTTGCTGCCTTTAATGCCATTTAGCTACATGGTAGCAAGGAGCTTCATTGCAGATATCTAATGATTCACTGAAAACTCTAAGCAGATGTGTTTGGAGAAAACATAGCTTCTGAGAGTCTATATTATAACTGACATTCCCATCAATAACAAATATAATACTAGTTGCAGGGTTGATATTTAATTTACTGTCTATTGACATTCAAAACCACAGAGACTCCAAAATTTCAATTCTGCCACTTCAATTTGTTTAGTTTTTTTCTAGTCCATCTAAGTCTGGATTTAGAAAACCTAGTCATATGTGAGAGCAGTGGGAAAACAGTTTTGAGTCTGCTGTTATCTCTTTGCAAAGAAATGAAAACATGACAGCAGAAGATGCCTTTTCTTCTTCACACAAACAAACAAAAGGCTTAGAGACTAATTCAGGGATGGGCAAAATATGGCCCACCAGCCGGATCTGGCCCTTCAAATGATTGGATTTGGCCCGTGGGTGGGTGCCCGCCAACTGATTGTATCCAGCCCACAACGCTCTGCATGAGATTGAGCCCCACCTGTTCCTGCCTGGGGAATCCCACGTTCCCACCTGCCCCAGCCCCAGCCAGTATGCACAGCTTTCCACTGGGGCAGCTCCCACTGCTACAGACACCCAGGTACTCAGCTCCCTGCATCTTCAGTAGCTCCTCTTCCTGCTCCTGCTGTGCCGCTCTGGGCAGCAGGTAGCATGGGGAAGAGGGGTAACCCATGGGGATGCACGACAGGCACCACACATCCAGCCAGGTGGGTGGGAAGCTGCAGCTGAGCAGCTCCTGCCCCAGCATGTGGGGCTCTAGTTCCAGCTCCAGCTCCTGGCTACCTTCCACCCACTTGGGCACCCCCAGGTGGCCATGATCATTGTGGCAGGTGGGCAGAGTAGGTGGAAGGCAGACAGGAGCAGGAACTGGAGCCCCGCATGCTGGGGTAGGAGCTGCCAGGCTGAAGCTTCCCTCTTGCTTGGCTGAACATCTGTTCCCTGATGTGTGAACCCATGGTTTCCCCATGCTACCTACTGCCCAGAATGGTGCAACAGTGGCAGGAAGAGGAGGATGAGGATGAGGAAGAGCTGCTGGAGGCAGGGGGAGTTGAGCAATATCTGGGTGGCTGAAGCCACATCACGAACGACCCCACTGGGAAGCTGTGCGCTTTGGCCAGAGCCAGGGAGGTGGGAGCGGGGTGTGGGGTTCCCTGGGTGGGAGCAGGTAGGGCTTGGCCCAATGAGAAGTGCCACAGGGGCAGCTGAGGGCCAGATGGGGGTGCAGACCAGACCCGCACTTGCACCATCTGGGCGAGTTCTGCTGCACATGCCCCCTGTTTTATCTCTCTCCACCCCTGGCCAGTTCCTGTGAACTTCTGTGTGGGCAGCCTACCCCCCATGCACACACACACTCACCTCCGCCACGCCCACCCCACATCCATCCCCCCCCTGCAACACACACATCCACCCCCTCACAGGTAAACCCTCCACCCCCCTCCCACACCCACATATACCCTTCATCCCTATGCATACACTCCATACCCATCCCCCCACATACACCCAGCCCCATACCTCCCTCCACTTCCCCATGTCCCACAATATACAAGAGTAAGATTTCATTTTGAGCTATTCTGCAATCACCTCTAAATACACTACTCAAAAAACCTAAATGAGGACAAAAATTATTTTTTGAAATAAAGTTAAAATATGTTATAGTAGCTGTTTGATTTGCATATATGATTTCTTTTTAATCTATAATTTCACAAAACAGTATCCAAAACTTGTTAAGTGGCCCTCAGCCAAAATTAGTGTCCACCCCTGGATTAACTGGTTCAGAAAGATATAAAATCTTGTAGGTGACAGCTTACTCATCCAATGCTATGAATGAACTTGTAGAAAATGGGCTCTAAACACAAGGGTATTTAAATACAGAAGATAAGGGAGGGGGATAAATATGGGTTGAATAGCTCAACAGATAAAAAAAAGCAATTAATTCATTGAGGAACATAGTCTTTGTTGAGATCATATATAACACAATCCAGTAAGCACTGTGGATGATTTATTGTCCCACAGCTTCACATCCAAGTCAATTTTTAAAGTTTTATTAGTTAAGAACAGCTACTGTTAGGTCAGTGGTGAAACGTCCAAGGATGCTAAAGTGTTCTGCCATGAGCAGAATAATAATACTTGGCAATCCAATAATATATACATCATCATAATAATCCATATGGGTGCATCTACATGTGAAATCAATGTGCTTGAATAAACTCCAGCACAGTTTGTGTCAGAGTTTATTGCTCTCAGGTGCTACATTCACATGTGTGCCTGGGGCTGCAGCATGTTGAGCTGAGTTGGAGCAGCCCCAGCTGGCAGGGGATCTGGGGGTCAGCCTGCCAGCCTGGGGCTGCTCTGACCCAGCTCAACATACTGCGGGCTGGGGCACAAAGGTACTCTAGTATGGGCCTTGCTGGCAGGCAGCCCCTGCACTAAAGCACCCTTGTATCCCAGCCTGCCCCGTCAGCATCTACATGTGCATTGCGGCACACTAAATAATGCTGCCACAGGAAAGCACTTGTGTTTTCAAGTACTAACCTATGGCAGTGTTTATTAGTTTACTGTGGCCTACCAGGGCTGCATGTGTAGATGCTAAGACTTTCCTGTAGAGCTAATTAAGCAACTCAGCAGTAAATGTCTCATGTAGACATGCCCATAATATTATACCATAGGCATAGCAGCACAGCTCTGTTTCCAGGGTAGCACCAGCTCCTGCCTTGCCAATTGTGGTGGTGTGAGCAGCTGCTGCTGCAACAACAGCTGCTTTTGTGCCCCCCTCCAAAGGTGGTGCTTATGCTTGTGCCCTGGATGCCCCTCTTCATGTGTACTACTATATTATACCTGGCAAGCCATCAGTGACCACTGTTTTCTACAAGTCCATTCATAGCATCTGACAAAGTAGGCTGTCACCTATGGGAGCTTATACCTCTCTGAACCAGTTTGTCTTTAAGGTGCTACCCTGCCCTGTCTTCTGCCTGACTTCATACTAATACCAATGATCACCTCTCTCTAAAAAAAAAAAAAAAGAAAAGCTCACAACTATTATATATTACAGAGTGAGTATTTTGATGCTTTGTCATTTGGTACTCCTATTTATTGGTTGAACCACACATACTCATTTTGGGCCCAATTGTGTTCTGGATACACAGGTACAAAGCTTGGCTTCCAGCAGAATCATCTAGGTAAACCAAGAGCCGAGTTTGGGCAATTGCCGTACATAGCTGTATTTTTCTAGTATCATTCTGACATATATATTGGGTCTCAATATATCTGGATAAATTCCTTGTTTTATGTAGTTCAGCTGAAGTCAGAGACCTAATGTATCAGTAGAGACTTTGACCTATAACTTTTACATTTTTATAGCTGTGATGCAACATATTTTACATGTAGAGATATATATACAGTTAACATATTTTACATATGCATATGTATTTATCTATATGTCTGTATTAAATGTCCATGCATGTGCAATTGTCGCTTGTCCTTAATTAGTGCCCTGGCTTCAGAACAGGATACAGTTGTAGTTTTTCACATGCTGCTATGTGTTAACTGTTGGCAAATGTGACTGTTTAATAGCAACTGTACCTATGCTTACCAAAATATATTTACTGGCTGCAGCAAAAAAATGTCTACTACCTAAGCAAGGAAATCCCATTTTTTCATTACTTTTCCTTCAGAAGCCTAGACATTCTCATGGTAACATCATGGCTTTGAATTACACTGTTAAAAATGTAAGCATTCTTAACAGCATTTACAGCACTTTATCCAATAGAGTGCAAATGACATATGTTTATCTGAATGATGATTCGTTTGCAACTTTAGAGTTAAATGATCCAATAAGCACAGAGTTGATTTTAATTTGCATACTGAAATTCTATTGGTGCACGTGCTACATAAGAGGGTTTTATATTTTTGTCACACTTTAAGAAGCAACTAATGATCCACAGAGAATTTGGAAAACCATTCTGTTTACATTCCATCCCATTTATATGCCCTACATTTGCATGCAAAGAGGGTCTTTGTTTCCTTAGGGTTTATCAGTTCCTGCTATTTATTCCCCACTAGTAATTGTAGTCTTCTTTGACATCAGTCTCATTTCCACACAGCAAACAGCTTTACAAAGTATAAATAAGGTGCTAGCATTACCTGGCAATTTTGTCTGTGCAAGACATTGTGATTAGCTGTTCTCCCAGCAACACACCATCCCATGTCTGAACTGCATTATGGCGTCGGACTGGGATGGTTCCTTCTCCAGACTCAATTTTTGTTCGCAGATGTCCACGGTACTTTCTTACTATGTGCTTGCTACTGTTCACTGAGTAAAAAAAAAAGGGACAATAAAAAGACAATAATTAATGTTTGCACAGTTACCTCCTGAGGTGAATAAAAGTGTCTGTGATACCCTATCTTGCACTATGGCACAAAAGCTGGTGTCTTTGAAATTAAACGGGAAATTGGCTGCAGCCCACAAAAGCAGCACAATGGATATTTTCATTTGGCACTCCCTACCGTTCAAGTAAATCAATTTTTTTTTACTACAAAAATTGAGCTCATGTTAACATTCTCTACCTCTTTAAAAACAGAGAGTTTTTTTTAAGTATCTAATCAGAGTGTTGTACACTGCTGTTGTCATATTTTATAAGCTAAACAGGATTAGGTGAGGTCAGTACTTGGTTGGGTAGACCTCCAAAGTACTTTCAGGAAGCAGCGTGGGTCATTTAGGAGGTGAGTTTTTTTTCTTTCTGACTCAGTACTGAACCAGTGCCGCAGCATGACATTTGACACACTGCCATTGGAGCTCATGTACTGCAAGGTCCCGGCTTCTTGTTTCTAAAAATTCCCAAGAGTAGAGATTTAAACCTGGTCTCTTGTCCAAGTGAAATCTTAGTAGATATATTCTGCTGGCCTAAATTCCACCAGAATTAACCTTGGCTAAGGTACGCTAAGTTCTTGTGTGAGGTTGACATATGCTGTTAAACTTGTGCTATGTTCCAACCCATTTCAGTAATGGGCAAAATGGGTCCTAGCTGTTGCTTGTGCAAAAGACAGTAACACTTATACTGCACTCTGCATCCATTTGGATGAAAGGCACTATATAAATGCAAGTTCATGATAAAAATCACCTTTATCATATGGATATGGCCAATTTATGCATGGGTGGGAGAGAAGGAAAACTAACTTTGAAAATAAATGCTGGGAGTAACCCTGTGCTATGGATTTGGCCCTTCTGCCTGTGTGGAAGAGAGTTAAGCAATGCCCAAATGCTATTCTTGCTGCCTCTATGTCCATGAAAAGTAGGTTGTGGTAGACATGGTGGACTATAATTTTTCCAGAGGCTAGTGGTAATTCCCCAATGCCAGTGCATCCTGTGGGTGCTTTAAGCTCTCTGTGGGCCCCCTTCTTGACTGGGGAACTTTCCTTGAAGTTGCCCTTTTGTAAGAAGGCAAGAAGCCAAAAGGGCCCCAAAGTTCATGCATGTATCTCTATAAAAGGGGCCCAGTTTCAGGGGCTCTGTGGGATTTGGGTGCTGACCTGGTGCTTGTTTCACAGTGGGTGTCATGCAGTCCATCTAGAGAGTTTATGAGAACCAGGGAGTCCTCCCTTCAGCACCTTGGCTCAGTTTTCCTATGCAAGTGAATGATTCCTCTCTTGGCTTTACTATGTTAATATCTTCCCTTTCCCCCCACTCTCTTAGTAGCACAGACTCAATTCCATGGACGAATACAGAAACAGGATAACATCTTCTCAGAGCAGGCTGTCTCTATAGAAATGTTCCAGAAGGCTTCACTAGAGGACATATTTCATGTGGTATAGCCTTTCCTTTATTTCCTCTAATGCCAGCATTGCAGGAGGAGAACAGAAAATCGAAAAAGGCCACCTTGAACTTTCAGTGCAAAGAGACTGTTGTTACACAGCCTGGACTTTTGCCCAGGGTTTCAATACTTCACCTGCAGCTTTGTTTTTATAGGATCCTATCTTTCAGGCAGATCTAGAAGTTTATTTTTCTGAATGTGACAAAAACCCTCAACAGGTTACAGGTCTGCATGGATTTTGTGCATCTCACACTAGGAAAACAAGTCAATAGGCTGGTCAAGCCACAGGCAGAGAGCAACTGGCTTTGTGTGCATTCCTGAGCCACACTCTGCACCCCCCTGTCATTTTCCGGTTTGCTTTGTTACGGTGTATCCTATGCTGTTACCTCTAGTTGAAGCAATTGATTGACTTTGGCTGGTGTCAGTGGATTGTTTGCAGAAAAGCAATGGAAAAATAAATCGCTTCAGAACACTGGGATTAGCGAGCACAGCAAACACATGCAGAACAGCAATTGCAGCTGTGACCTGCCAGCAGCTACGAGTCTCCTCTGATCGTTTGTTCTTCATTTGCTCCTTACTCTTTTAAATACATTATTGATTTTTCAAGAATGGGCTCCATTATGCCTTAAATGTTCTAGACTCTCTCAGGATCTGTCTGCACTATTTCTACAACTGTGCTCCTACAGCAAAGGAGAGCATCATTTTTTTTTTTTGTCATTAGACAATAAATTGATGGGGAGGTCAGAAAAAGACAAAGCCCGCAGAACCACTGCTCCCCAGCAAACACAACTGGAAGCTGAACTGAAGGATATCACAAGGTTTAGACCCTACAGACTGTGTTCTGGATAGCTTATATGGAGAACAACTAGAGTCACAGAGGGATGGTCAATACAAAGGGGGGCGTTTCAGAGGGACATAGGAGACCCTGGCTATATTTTTGGCTCAGAAACTGGCTTGCTGGTTGACTTTAGGCCTCATTTTGCCTCTATGTGTCTCAGTGTCTTGATATGTAAAATGAAGAGTGCTTTGAGATGTCCTGCCACAAGCTCTTTATGGGAGGGAGGAACTGTAGGGATCCACCTGCAGGATTCTACCTAAGTTCCACTTTCACTGCGCCTCTCCACCTTCGCCATATTTAAAATATCCTTTTTCTTTCTTGGCCTTTCTCTCCCCATCAGCCCTTCTTTTCTCCACATTCGTCTTAGTCTCACCAGTTCCATTTCCTGCAGAGACCCTCTGCTTTACATCCATTGTATTCTTTTTTCACTCTCATTTTCAGGCATTCACCAAATTGCTTTTACCTTTTAAAGCTTGAAAAGTAGCAACATGGATAGAGAGGGGGCTGCAAGCACTCAAAGTATTGCATGACAAGTTGGCTATTTTGTCAACTATATGGCTTTGGTTAGCTAAATATATATTACATAGCAAGGGACAAAGCATTATACCATGGGATGGTAGGAGAGCTGAGTAGTTGAGGGGAAGAGATCTAGTTGAGGGGATGTAGTGGAAGAGATCTAGTTGAGTGGAAAGTAGTTCCATACCGATTCCAAATTGGTATGGCCCAAAATACCCAAGCATAAAGTCCATGTCTATCTTGTCACTAGGCTGGCACCTTACATGTAGTCCCTGAGCCAAAAGGGCCAGGGATTCGGATGCCACCCAAAAAGCTGGCTTGATCGTAGTCAAAATAAGGCTTCATATACCATGTTCAGATGACTTGGAAGAATTCTCCTGTGTTTCTATTCCTGTTAGAAAAACTTATCAAGCGATGTGTGAACAGATATTTGAAAGCTGAGCGCTTGAAGAGCAAATAGCCTGCAGTGCTGATTCTGTACAGTCAAGGGCTCCTACACATATCTCAGTGTGCTCTGCAGACTTCCTCAGTCTGCCTGAAGATAGATGGCAGTAGACCACAGGGCAGCCCTGATTGGCTTACCCAGACTGCTTAGTGTCAGCTTGTGTTTCCTTGAAGCACAATATGGGGATTGTGAAGAGAGCATATCTGCTCCCTGCCCAGCTGCAGCAGTAGAGTCCAGGATGAGTGGCACACTGTTTCCCAGTGCGTGCGAGAAAGGGAGCAATGCACCCTGGGATGCTGGAGCACTATGCTGTGGCTTGTCAGAAGGAAATATGTACAAACATTCACTTACCCAGAAGCCTGGAGGAGCTCCAGGCCACTGTCTAGAGCATGCGCACCATCAGGGACTGTGAGCAGGAGATAGACTCCTACTGTCAGGCCCTTCTCCCCTGGGAGCTGGAGGGTAGACCATGGTCACCCTCCAGGACAAGGGAGGACTCCGGGACCTCCCATTCTGTCCAGTCAGGGGGATGGACCAAGGTGGTGAAGGGCCCTAAGGCCCGCCGCACCAAGGCCCCTGTCCCACCGGAGCTTAGCAACAGGTACAAACTGCTTGCAGCCCCAGCAGAGCCTGCTGAGTTGCCAGCTCCTTCAGGCAACACAGGCTCAATTGCAGCTACTGCCCTCGCTCTCTCCAAGACAAAATGTAAGGTGTTTGTTGTGGGAGACTCCATCCTGAGGGGGACTGAGAGGGTAATCTGCCGCCTTGAACCCTTAGCCTGGGAAGTCTGCTGCTTCCCAGGAGCCCGCATCCGAGACATTGCGGAGAAGATCCCTAAGCTCCTCTAGCCCACAGACCACTATCCCATGCTCCTTATTCATGTGGGCTCCAATGACACGGCTCTCAGTGCTCCCAGCCGGGTCATAAGGCGCTACAGGGATTTGGGAGTGGGGCTAAAGGATCTGGGGGCACAGGTGGTGTTCTCTTCAATCCTCTCAGTCTCGGGGTATGGGCTGAGGAGGGAGAGGAAGATCCAGGTAGTTAACCAAAGACTGCAGTGCTGGTGTCATCGGGAAGTTTTTGGCTTCCATTACCACAACCCGCTCTTTGGCGAGAGAGGCAGTGAGCTGCTAGGAAGAGATGGCCTCCGCCTCTCTCCCCTGGGGAGAAGGCTCTTCTCAGCCAGACTGGCTGACCTGCTACCCCACGCTTAAGCCCACTGGGGGATGGGGGGACTACTGCCACTGCTGGGCTGCTGAGCAACCCTTGCAAAGCCAGTAGGCCAAGGCACTTAAGCAGCACAAAGCCAGCATGCCAAGGCCACCCCTGCCCCAGCCCCTGTACAATATGTGGGCAAGGCAAGAGCCCCCAAGGGGACATTTGTCTGCCTATACACTAATGCCAGGAGCTTGGGGAATAAGCAGGAGGAACTTGTCCTCCTGCTTAACACAAATAATTATGACATCATAGGGATAACAGAGACCTGGTGGGACTCCACCCATGATGGGACCATGGGTATAGATGGCTATACCTTGTACAGGAGAGATTGAGTAGATAAAAGGGGCGGGCGTGTAGTTCTCTATGTTAAGGAAAGCTACGCATCCCTGCAAGCTGATGTTGGTGACCAGGGTGGATGACTGGAGACCCACTGGGTTAAAATCCATGGGGAACATAGCACAGGGGACACAACGGTGGGAGGCTAC